TTGAAAGGAAGAATTTCAGAAGCTGAAAAGTGTTTTGTGAAATAAAAGTCTTCTGAGTTTGCAAGGCATTGAGCTGCCCACCCCTGTCCAGTTTGGGTTTCCTATAGTTAACTGGTTCTTCTGAATTCGCTCTTAAAAAGGTCGCAGGAAATTTAACAGAAAATTGGGAGCAAAGTCCTCTGAAGGGTGTTTCCATCATGCAAGCTCACGTGGTCTCATTTCCCTTGTTCAAGCTTTATTCCCCAAGGATCAAATCACCGTCTCTAGAGACTTTAATACTTCCTGACTTTTAACATGTCAGTGTTAATTAAACATGGGATCTCTAATGAACGCTTTTCCCGTACAGAAGGCATTAAAGCCAGGACTTGATATATCATGTATTAAGGTGACACGTGAAGCGCTGGTTGCAGCAAAACGATTATCATGCAAGCGCCCTCAGCTATTTGCAGAACTGCGCCGGCCTCGCTCAGCCGGGCTGGGGACATTTGGTGCTGTGATGACATCTCCAGAAAAACCTACTCCTTCTGCAACCCCTGCGCCTGGGCTGCTTGAAATGGCCAAAATTAGGAGCCGTCTGTGGGTTTAGCAGGAAAGTGAATAGGGAAAGCTGCCGGTGTGTGAAGGACACCTCAATTAGCCATGGAGTAGAGGTGCCAGGACCAGGGATTTTCCTGGAGGCTTTCCAGCAATTTTAATGAGAGGAAGGGACTCCAGCAGAGACTGGGGGGCTGTAGGAAGGAGGCAGGTACCTGGCCCCTCTTAATGGCTTTCCATAGAGAGGCAGGCAGCGACCAGAGCCAGTCCCTGCCTGGCACGTTCAATGGTTTGTCACATCCCTGGGTGCGAGGCAGGGGTGGAGAAGGGGCCCATGGGCTCACCCCACAGGAGCTTTGTCCATGAATGCTGCGGGAAGGCCATGTTGGGACCCCACGGTCTGTCCTTGCACGTGAAACCCTGCTGGCACCCAATGCAGATGGGCACTCGTGGGAAAGCCCAAAGCTCATGCGAGCTGTCTTCCAGCCACGCTTGGTTATGCACAGGCTACAGGAAATTGTCTCTCAATAAGCAGATCACTTAGGAGAAAACAGAAGGATTTGGTACCTGCCCTTGGAAAGGTCCAGGCAGGGCTTGAGCCACCCCCTTGTATTCATGGCATCATAAAATCTTAGAAAATATGGGTGGAAGGGAGCTCAGGCGGTCACATCTAGTGCAACCCCCTGCTCCAAGCAGGACCAGCCCCAACTACATCATCCCAGCCACGGCTTTGTCTACCCAGGTCTGCAAAACCTCCAAGGATGCAGACTGCACCACCTCCCTGGGGGCATGTCTATACGGTGTGCCTAAACTTAAAGCCGCATTTGCCTAATGTGCATTAAGGTGATTTAGGTGTGTACCTACTCATGCATGTGCTAATGCGCATTAACATAGTGTGCAGACCGACTTGGGACTCAAGTTAGTCCCGAGTCAGTTGGCATACGCGGTGTTAATGCGCCTTAGCTTGTCTGCATGTGCGTTAAGGCACTTCAGCTATTCATGCCTAAATTTGAGACCAGGTCTCAAATTTAGGCACGAATAGCCTAAAATCGCCATTTTAAGGCGCATTAAGGGTGTGCATGTGAAGACCTGCATCCTTCACCTGCCTTTAAAAATGGTTAACACACCTAAATCAGCATGTGTAGACACTACACCCTGGGTAACCTGTTCCAGTGTTTTAGTCAGAGAGTCTTTCCGAATATCCAACCTCAACTTCCCTTTCTGCAACGTGAGCCCATTGCTCCTTGCTCTGTCATCTGCTCCCACCGAGACCAGCCCGGCTGCCTCCCCGTGCCCCCGCCGAAATGTTGCTCCGGTTCACGCCGTCGCACAACTCTGCTCTGCTGCAGGTCTGAGGCCATCAAAGCAGCCAAGAACACAGTGAGGATCCGGGCATCGTACGTCATGATGGCACTGACGCTGCTGTGCTGCTTGGCCATGGCCATCTCTGGCAAACACGTAAGAGTCCCTCTCCCTTCCTGGGCGAGGCAGTCGATCCCACCTGGTACCCGGGGCGGGCACAATCCTGTCCTCCTCCATGCGCTGCTGAGACGGTTTTGAGCACGCAGGGGTCACGCGTTGCATTCAGTCACTTGCTCTGTTGCAAGTGTCTTGTTGCTCGATGCTTAGGGACGCTTCCATGGCCAGGCCTCGCTGCACGGTTTCCCTTTGGACTGACTTGGCCGTAGCCCATTGCGGTGCCGCTAGCACCTGGAGTTTTGCCTCTAGCTCCGGGACAGCCTGTTGCAAGGGGGAAAAAGGGTTGACTCCCCATGACTGGGATCGATTGGGTCAGGCTTGGGTGGATCCAGCTGGCCCTTTTCTTTTACTTTGCTGCTTCATTTGGCCCTCTCAGCCGGCCCTAGACCCCCAGGGAATGACCTGAGCAATGGTGGGACGATGGTGCTGGAGCCAGCCAAAAACAGCGTGGCGGGGCCTTTGCTTGGGGGCTCAGCACCGACCCCCCTGCCGTTGGTCCTTGGCTGGAGGCTCCGGTGAGGCCCGGGGATGCATTTCCACTCGCGTCTTTCCCCAGGCAATATCAAAAGGGCACCAAGAGGAGCAGAGAGAGGGCAGAAGGGGGTGCCATTGGCTGGGGAAATGCTTTGGGGCAGGTGGCCTTTCACTTTGTGTTGTCCCAGGCCTCCAAAAAGGATAACACGCTGGTGAGGATGAACCAGGAGAAGAAGGCCAGGTGGAAGGAGGAAGGAGAGAGAGACCGGGAGGTGGCAGTGGTCAAGGCCGAATGACCCAGAGCGGACGGACAGGACCGGGGCACTTCGAGCTCTCGGGAGCTTCGTGGGTGTCACTCTGCCAGGGTGAAGATCTCACTGCTTCCCAACGGCTTGTTTCAGGATCCCAAAACGCGAGTGCCAACACCCGGGATTTCTGTGCCGGCAGCTTTCCTCCGGGCTTTTTGACTACTCCCTTTGAGAGGCCCAGAAATCAGCCCGTTCTCTCCTAAGCCAAAAATGAGGGGAAGGATGATGTGGTGTTAGGGCAGCCAGGGGGGGTCAGGTCTTTGCTCTGCCACTGACTCTCTAGGTGGCCACAGTCAAGTCACTTAATGATGTGGAGAGCCCCATGTCTGACCTCCAGCCTGCGTGACCACGACCCCACGGGCGGCTGGGACCAGGCATCAGCAGGAGCCGAGACCTTCACCCCCCTCCCCACCAAAGACGTCCAGGCAGACACCTTGGAAGAACCAGCGGAGACACGGCCATCGTGGAGCAGCGGAGCCGACAGCTCGGCAATCCCACCGCTGTGCCATAACCTTTGTCTCCGGGTACCTGCACTTTATGCACAGAGTCATCACCATGGCAGCATCGCTCGTCCTGCCGCGCTGCAGCTTTGCTCTCATTATCATTATTATTTTTAAATTCCGGTTGTTATCTTCCAGTTCCCACACTTGTTCTGTCGGCTGCGATTTTGAGCCAGCAATGAACTGCCGCTGCATTGTTTTTGCTAAAGTTTGATTATTAGTGGGTTTTTTTGTTTTTTTTTTAAATCCTCATAGTTCATGAATTCATCATCAAACAGCTGCTTGGCTACATCGAAAATAAATGCGTCTTCTCACAGCTTCATTTAAAGTGTCGCCAAATTCTCCTCGATGCTGTTTAACAGATGGCAGCAGGTCCTAATGAAATATCGAACGTTAAGTTTCAGGAAAGCAATTAAACTTTCAGGCCCGATGATGCGCCCATTCCCTGACCTAAAATGCTGGGCATCATTCCTCGTATTTTGGGCTTCAAGAGACTTCTTTGTGGCCGGAGGCGGACAGGAGCATGGGGGGCCCAAAACTATGTCTAGCTTAGTCATACACACGCGTGCATTTCCCGTGGCAACTGCCTGGCACGCGAATGCTGGGCCCTGGGGATTGCACCAGGGAGGAGTTTTGCTCCCACTCTGTAAGCGTGGGACTGGCATCAATTAATGCTGCGTGACAGCAGAGGCTTCCCATTCACTTTAAGGTATTATAGGGCTGTGCCTCCTGTGCACTTAATAGTGGTAGCCCCCCCATAAAGAGCCCCACAACAAGTGTTGTTATCCCCTGAAATGGGGTTAGGCCTTGCAATGCAATAGCTATGGGCTGGGGAAGCTGGGAGCAGGCTAGGCAAGGGCCACGGGGATTTGGCAGTGCCGTGTCCTGCAGGAAGCTTCCTAGGGCTGCATCAGCTTTTCCACCGAGCCCCTCCGTGCTGGGGGACCAGGTCTATGGGGAGGAGGTGAGGGGCTGCAGACGTGGGTGGCAGGAGTGGGAGATGGGCTGGGCACACAGCAGCTTGTCCTGCTTCCCGGGGATGCACGCGTCTCCATCCCCTCCACAGGCCTTCAACCCCTGTGATGCTATCCGGGCTCTGGGAAAATACCCCCAGATGATAGAGATACCCCCAGGTGAGTGCGCAACACTGCTTCTCCCACCTGCATCTCCTCCCCTCGCTCTCTACCCGAGGCCCTGCGCAGCCTTGGGACTGAACTGGTAGCAAAGCATCCTGAAGAGACAGGCCTTGCTGTCTTGGACAGGAAACTCCTGTTACACCGGTCAGTGGAAAAGAGAAAAAGCTGTGAGGATTCCCAACTATAACAACCCATCAGCTTGGGTCGCTTGGGGGGACTTGTGAAGTGCAACTGTAACCCGGGCGGTACTCCAAGAAGTACCCCCTCTCCAACTGAGGGGATCAAAGCCAGTGCACAAGTGCTGTGGGAGGTGTAGGGACTCTCCTCCCCCTATAGAGCAGAGCCAGACCACCAATGGGGACTTAACCCTATACCTTTTAATACTGGGAACATAACAGGCATAAATCAGAGGGGATAGTGGACACTACAATGCCCCAAGGGGCAGGATTCAACAAAGGTTAGACACAATCACTGACAAAAAACAGGGTTAACAAAATATAAGGCACAAACAGCAGAACAAACAATACGGGTTGGTGAAATATAAAAAGGCACAAAATGCAAAATGTCAAGTAAACACGGGGCCTTGGTACCTGGAGGGGAAGAAAGGGGGGAAAACACAATGGCCCCTTTCCACTGCAAAAAGATTTGCTTCTTGTTATCCCATTTACCCCAAGTCACCTCAGCTAGAACTTGAACCCAGATCTCCCACATGGTAGATAGCTACACAGCCATCACCACTGCTTCAGCCTGCAAGGGGTCTTTGTCTTCCTGGAGCCCCAGCCTCATGTTGAGCTACCTGGTCTCTGACTGGAGGGGCTGGAAGCAGAGTTGGAAACCCCTCAGGTCGCTGCTCAGATCCTTGCTGGAGCGGG